TAAAGCCTCAGAAGACATTTTGTGGAGCTGTGACACTAATGTTTGTATTCATCATTTGACAATATGAGCATAGATTTAAAGTATTTTTTCAGCAGAATAAAAGCAGAATGTGTCATCCAGAATGGATGCACTAGAAATTGTGTCACCTACTCAAAAGTTGTATTTGGCTTCCTAAACTCTCACTCATACTTTTAAGAACTGATAGAAAAAGGAGGAAGAAAAGATGGTGAGTGAACTGATCTATGCCCAAAGATGAAAAGGATAAGACTATTGTAAAGGTTGATTAGATTTCTTCTCTCACTTGGAATTAGGAAAACCATAATTTTTTTCCAAGAACATGGTGACATGGCTTCAAATAAAAGAATTTCTGTTACTTTATGGGTCTGGTCAAATCATACAAAAAGACTATTAAACTAACATATTAATAGAATAATTGTATTTATTTTGAAGAGCATTTCTCTGTGTTTAACAAAATCCTTAATGTTAAGACATTAAGGAATTTCTGACACAAGTATCACTATTCCATGTAAGCATAAACTGCACTGCTTACACTAAAAAGATAAGCAAGATATTCTACTCTTAGTATAATAGCCCTGAGCCCCAGTGGGATCTGAACCCAGAACTACCACCACTTTGCCACTCTTGCCAACTGCAAGCAAAAATTGGCTGAAGGCCCTCATTCTTCCCAGCATTTTGAGATAGAAGGACAAGTAATCATGTGCATGTGTGTGTACGGAAAGCTTGCCGAGATGTTGGGCTAGCCACAATGCCAAAATCAAGGTCATTTAAGATGCTGCATATGGAAAGGATCATTTTGCTAGGAACAGACCAATTACCAGGAGCATATATAATGACTATTCATGATGTCAAAGCAGCTTGCCACACTGCTTTCATCTGCCAGCACACAAATGCCTATACTGGAATGTTGCAGCTGTCAAGGGAATATATGACTCAATGTATGTATCTTGGAAGGGGTTCTGTAGGCAGTCTGGCCTCTGTCTTGAGGTATTGGAGGGGATAATTTCACAAAATGATAACATATGAGACCACAAAACTCCCACCATAGCCTTGATATTACAAGAATCCTAGTTGACTTCAGCTGTTACAAGAGAACGAACCAGTTATTATATACAAATGTCTCACTGACCAACATGAAGATTGTTTTTTCTCCCTCTTTTCCTCAGCACTGTTTATCCCGTAACTCTTTAGAGGAAAATGTGCATGCAGGCTGCTGAACACATGCATCTAGAATCCTCTGCCCCTCACCACTTCAGTACACATGGAAGCTTCTTGACTGTGACTGAGACCTTAAGACAGACGGACACAGATCAATGGAGTCACCCGGCTCCTGTGACCATCAAGCTGGAGCAGATTAACAAGTCACACAGGATGCAATTAAACCAACAACAATCAACCAAAGCCAAACAAATAATCCAAATGCTACATTCAGCTGGTACATTAATTCTTGAAACTGCAACTTTGTCCTCAGCTAGTAGAAACCTGCTGAATATAAGAACTTTCCTGCTATGACTCAAGGTACCAGCTAGGTCTATCAGAAGCCACCCAGCATTTATAAATAGGAGTCTGTAGGGCAGGTAGTGCCTTTACCCTGTTCCGTCAGGTACACACAACAATTCTATAAACAGTAAAGACAAGTATAATTCTCCTCCCCCATTCACTTGTTCCTAACTCTGCAGTGACTGATCAGTGGCAACTGCTGCAGTTCCTGATGAGCTTTTCCATTGGAAAACCTTCCAATCACTTGGGCTGGCTGCTGAGGCCAGGTGCAGAATTCTGATCCCAAGCTACCACAACAGATGGCACAATTCCCTCTGGAAGCAAGGTCGGGCATAAATGCATGCAAATTCCAGGGTCTGAAGACTTAGGGAACACAACAGACTGTGAGACAAAATAGAAGTCTCTGCACTGAATCCTTTCTTAACCAGCATATGAGTATCTCATGAATCAAGCAGCGTTTAAATTCATTAGCTCAATGAATAATGTTCTATTATACTTTCTATGAGATTTGGGCAAATTTACATAGAATTTATAAGTTTTGGTTCATGTTATGGAATGATACAATTGCTATGGGCTCGTATATCTATATCTACCTTTGCTGACCAGGACTGCATGACATTTCTCTGGAAAGGTATAATGGAAACCAGCAAATGCAATGACTGGGAAAGATGCTGGTACAACTTTCAATGGACTCTAAAAGCATACTGAAGGATTTAGCCAGGAGAAAATAAAAGATCAGCATGTTTACCTCATCTTTTATTAACCTCTGCTTTATGACTCTATAGCTCAAGGGTAAACCAGAAAGACACAGGACCACAGTCTAGACACAACCCAAAGGGATTAAGACACCTAAAGTGTGTAAAACTTTGGAGGCATATTATTTATTTTAACACAGATAATAAATGTATTCTGCCACAGTGTTACAGTGAAGAACAAGAGTGGCTTCAGAATCCCCTAAAAACAAAGAAAGAAACTCCCATAAACCAAAAAACAAAAAAAAACCAGGACTGAAAACAGGAACCAAGGGCTACCTGAACCAATGTCAAGTTCAGAGAAGACAACTCACCTGTTTAGTATAGAACTTACCATTTTTTTCCCTCAATAAAGGGTTTTTTTTTCCTTAAATAAGGATTTTGACCAAATCCTCTATTTGATTCATACCAAGGCTAACATGTTGCTCACATTACACATGGCAAGTCACATAAAGATATGCAGCAACTGATCAGTCTTTGGTGGAAAGTTTAGTGGTTAACCATGCAAACAAATTCTTTCCCATTTTCCTCAGGGATCATTGCATTTCCATCTCCAGAGTGGGTAACATCTGTGTGTTATTTCAGTAACACGTAGTTACGGTCAGCACATCCAGAGTCTGTATCTCCTAATGCAAAACTGTGAATGTTAATGTTCTAAGGTACTTGATTCAACCAGACTAATATATTTTTCTTCCCCTGGAGATGATCTAACAGGTAATTTAGACAACCAGAGCTGGAAAACTTAGGCTTAGCTAAATTAATCAGAAGTCTACAGAATGCTTACACTCAGAAAAAGACTGAGGGTAGCAACATGCAAACTGACAAAATCATTGAAGAAATGCAATTGCAGGAAAAATAACCATAACCTGGGATGTCTGTAAGGTGGTATCAAGCATAGGAATAAAAAATAAAAGGAATTTTTTGTCTGCCTGTGAGGCCAGCAATAGTATCTCCAGTGCCACACTGGAAAATCACTGAATAGCTCAGTCTTTCCCATTAGGAAGATATATATAGAGAGAAAGTTGTGTAAGACACAGAAGATCACAAACACACATGAAAAAGCAGAATAAAGGCAATAGAAGTAATAATAGGTGAAAACACAACCTGTTTGCAGCAAATTAGAAGCTAGGCACAAATGACATGCACTAACTTAAATACTCATCAGAAAACACTTCTCAATGGCAGGATTAAGCACCTTGTCGAATAATTCTTGGAATTAAAAGTCACTGACGCTTTGAAATAAGAGGTTGGTGTAATGTTTCTTTAAAGACTGAATGTTGTAATCCCTTACATAGACAGAAACACTTCTTGCAACTTCCCTTATGCTTAATATAAAAAGCAAGAACAACAGATGTATCAAAAATCATTTACTTCTGTGTTTCCAGAGGCAGACCAAAAGGAACGGAAGGCTTGAAGCATAAGAGAACAGGTTTGTTTAGTGCTCTGATAAAACTGGCAGTGCCACACAACCTGTAATTGCCTTTGTACAACTCTCTGCTATAATCACTGTTTCAGTAACTCTGGGTTAATGCATACACTACTTAAGCCAAGAAATCTTCTCCCTGCCTAGGGAAGGAAGTTATAAAGAGGGAGGTGAACTTTGTCCAAGCACTGCATGACAGGATCTTCTTTTACAAAGCTATTTCTAATACTAGCGCATAGTTCAGGAGCAAAATCCTCCTCTTAAATCTACATGATGAATTTTGATTGGGGCAGTCTACTCTTCTTATTGCTACAAACATAAACTGAAAATAATAAACTGAGAACATTGGGGCTGTTGAGCCTGGAGAAGAGAAGCTGCGTGGAGACCTCAGAGCAGCTTCCAGTGTCTGAAGGGGGCTGCAAGGATGCTGGAGAGGGACTCTTCATCAGGGACTGTAGCAACAGGACAAGGGGTGATGGGTTCAAACTGAAACGGGAAGTTCAGGTTAGATCTAAGGCAGAAGTTCTTCCCTGTGAGGGTGCTGAGGTGCTGGCACAGGCTGCCCAGAGAAGTGATAAATGCTTCATCCCTGGCAGTGCTCAAGGCCAGGTTCAAAAGAGCCTTGGGCAACATGGTTTAGTGTGAGGCGTCCCTGCCCATGGAGGGGGGTGGAAATGGACGACATTAAAGTCCTTTCAAACCCAAACCGTTCCATGATTCTATGACTCTATTCTATGAATTTTGCAGTGCACCAAAAATCAAATGGACCATTACCAGAACTTGAGAGAATACCTCCCTTGATTTCCTTTTTTCCCCAAAATGTTAGTACTAAGAATACTCACTTGAGTATTTATTTCTCATATAGCCATTTTGTTTTGTTGACTTTTTCTAAAACACAAATGTGTACCACAATATGTGGCAAATTGGAAAACAGCATCATACAGTTAAGAAATCTAAAGGAAGTAAAATTTAGCATGAGTTATACTTAAAACAAGAACAGGCTACTACAAAGATGTTCTATAGTAGCATATAGATTTCAATGTTATCTGTGGATTTCCTCAAGAAAGGGTGTACACCATCATGGGCAGAATTTGGCAATGTATTATCTACAATGTATTATTTACAAGCAACACAAACATATTCAACTTACCAAAAAGATCTACATAATTTGCACCCCCAACTCAACTGAAACACAAACCTCCAGTTCAAATTACATTGTTTAACATCTGTATGAATTCCCCAATTCTATGAATTCCAAAATGTGCTGTAATTCCTTCTGCTAAAATAGGTTTTCACTATTATATCACCTTTCTCATAGAGCTCCTCCATTGCTCTCCAGGTTTCAGCTCGGACCTCTCGATTGCTTTTACCAGGAACTTGCGCATCAGGCCAGTGTATTAAATAAAGATCTAAAAAACAAACAGAACCAGACTACTTTTCAGTGTCATAAAATTATAGCAAACCATGTGAAACAGCATTTTTCCTTCATAATGGCGTCTAGCATATCAGCATCAAAATAGTTACAATTACCACTCCATGTTCATTACTTTATACATCCATTTATTTTTAATCAATGCAATCTACAACATCTCATTAACAACTAAAGGTAGAAGAAGCTGCACATGTGCCACATGCTTAGGTCACTATAATCTAAATTTCATGGTCACATATTCAAGCTTTCAACACATAAGAAGCCCCATTTAAATCAAAGGCATTTTGGTCACTGGAATTAAGGCTGGAACACTGCTGAAGGGCCACAAGTCCTGAAGTTTTATGTAGACAGACTGAGAACATTGGGGCTGCCCAGTCTAGAGAAGAGAAGCTGCGTGGAGACCTCAGAGCAGCTTCCAGTGTCTGAAGGGGGCTACAGGGATGCTGGAGAGGGACTCTTCATCAAGGACTGTAGTGATAGGACAAGGGGTGATGGGTTCAAACTGAAACAGGGGAAGTTCAGGTTAGATCTAAGGCTGAAGCTCTTCCCTTTGAGGGTGCTGGCACAGAGTGCCCACAGAAGTTGTGAATGCTCCTATCCTGGCAGTGTTCAAGGCCAGGTCAGACAGAGCCTTGGGCGACATGGTCTAGTGTGAGGTGTCCCTGCCCATGGCGGGGGTTGGAACTGGATGATCTTAAGGTCATATAACTGGGACCAGTCTGGGACCCTATGATTCTATGAAGATAAATCTGTTTGGCAGTTCTGTAAGTATTTCATACAAATTCAGCAGTGGGTTCTGGATTTACTTTCTAAAGAATACTTCTGTTACAAAATTTCTGTTGGAAATCACAGCACATTTTTTCATGCACCGTTTTTTTGCTAAAATTTTTTGCCAGCAGATATTAAGGGAAAAAGCTTGTGCTTTACTGCATTTTATGAAATATTAGCACAGTTTCAAACAGAAGCAATATTTCCTGCTGATGAACTTATCCAAGCAGCTATAGAAACTCACTGTCTCCATGCAAGAAAAGATCATCCAAGCATTTTCAACATAAATTAAAACAGAGACATTTACATCTATTGGAGTCAGAGTTCCAAAACTGACAGGATCTGTAACTCCTTTATAAATCTGCAGACAACTTTAATGAGAAACTTTGGAGCTACTTTGAACACAATTACATTACTTTCCAAATTGTAACTGCAGATGTAATAGGTAACTGGAGGCATCCCAGTCAAAAAGTGCTGCTCTTTGCTGCATAGCTTAGTCTGACAGAAAACAGGAAAAGGAAATAAACGCATGACTGAGATGTACACCGTTGTCTGTCTTTGTGCTCTACAGTATTCCTTTTTTGGCATTTCAGACACAGAGTTAAGAACTAAAAGCTACGCAGAGTTTTTTGTTCTCCAAATGCATCACACTATTCATTCACAGCCCCTCTTTGAGAAAACACAGATCCTCTGCCCTATTTTTCTTTTATTCACATTTAAGGACTGCACTAAAGCTAACAATACCATTGGGCTGCTATTGTAGCTTTCCACCCCTCTAAATAAAAATTCACCCCTGGTTTAGGAGGAAAAGGGAACGTGAAATTCACTATAATACACCAGCTCCTATTTGGATCCCTCACTGTCATACTGTTAAAGAGAGTATTTTGCTCAGACTAAGAATTTAATTAGAACAGTACAGAGTTTTGTACAGTAACATACATTATAGGATGTATAAAAAAGAATCATTTTGGATGGTCACCAAAATCATGAGCTTTGCACTTTCTGACATCAATAAACCATTCAACTTTTAAACACAACTGCTCACACAAGAATATATCACTGATCTGTAATGATCTGCAGCATCTGGATTTATGTCCCATTAATAGAGAAAGTTGCTCATTGGTTGCCCTTATATACATAAAATCCTCTCCTAATTTAGAAAACGAGCAGACTTGTTCATCACTGAGCTGTGAATAATTGCTTCTTCTTTAATTGCTCTGAAAAAAAAATGGTATTTATTAAGAATAAATAATATATGGCATCGGAATAAATACCAAGTTCTGTGTCATTCAGCAAAACCTAATATTGGGATCTTGATTGAAGCACTTGGGAAGGTTATGTTAAAAATCTCAGGACCAGTCTAATTCTGTTGCCAAGAAAGTCTCTTCCAAAATTTCCACTGACTTACATTAGGCGCAACCCCAAGAATTAGCATTAGGAATTGCTAATACCAAGTGTTCAATTTGATCCACAGTTATGTATGTGCCATTGACAGTACTTACTGCCAGAGAGTGCCAGGACTTAATTTAAACTTTTTTGCTTGGATAAAGCAAATGTCATATGTAAGTTATTAGTATATGATTCCTCACATAAAAATGGGAGAATTACATATCTTTAATTGCTGTTTATGTTCTCCAAATCAGACTAATAACAACTGCTTTAACTATGCAAAAACACATCGTATAACACTAACAAAAAATAATCATTAACTTCAGTGGAATTTCACCAAAAGCTACTTTTCCAAAAGAAAAGTATTCAGTTAGACATCACAGCATGCAAATGTTCACAGAAATAGCTACATCCTGGATTTCTAAAAAGATGCTTTGTACTCAGCCCAAGAAACAGGAGCACTCTCAGAAGAATGACTTTTAAAAGATTTGATAACGGAAAGATCTCTGGCCTTGGGTATTTAAAAACATGCAGTACATCAGCCTTCCCTGTGTTAATGCCTGAGACCTCCTCAGCGTGAATACAATGAGTTGCTGGCCCTTTATTTTAGGAAGGCAACGTTATCAGGTTGTGACGTCCATATCATACTATGATGTTTATTTTAATTTATGCTTTTTGTTGAAGCGGTGCTCAAGGCCAGGCTGGACAGAGCCTTGGGTGGCATGGTTTAGTGGGAGGTGTCCCTTCCCACGGCAGGGGGGTTGGAACTAGATGATCTTAAGGTCCTTTCCAACCCTAACTATCCTATGATTCTATGAAATAAAAATTACTTCCCCATTAGAAATCTACATATTTAGGGCTAGAATAGCATCTTAAAAGTCCAGTCCTCCTGACCGCAAGAAGCGTTCATGAAAGATGTGAGGCAAAGGTACCTTATCTCAGAGATAAATGAGTAGTAGTCCACCAGTCACACACAAACCACCCCAGCCCAGCTACAAGTGGAAGGAATACAGTGTACCTTGCAACAAGCAATGGAAATCAACTAAGCAGTGCTAATTTTAAACTGGGATTTGCTTACTTCTATTGAATCTGGTACAAACCTTTTCATAATACCTGTAGGCCAAGAAAAGCAGTGAGCACCTCATAAACCCAGGGCTACAATTTCATTTTCATATTCACACCTACACCCACACTCTTGCTTAAAATATTTCCCCTCCTGAGGGATGACAAGAAAAGAAACACTCTTATTTGGATTTTGGAGGCAAGAAATTAGTTTTAAACTGTTTATCAAAATAGCTTCAGGTGCTAGTAATCAAGAAATGTGGAACTTGATCACTGGAGGTGTTTAAGAACGGGTTACATTTCTATGTGTTGGGAACGATGGGGTTGTGCCTTGTAGGTTGGATAGAGTAACCAATACTTTGAGACGTCTTCCAACCATTTTGTAAAACAATCTCAACCCCAAAACCCCGCAGTGACTCACAGTATCAGGATGTGCTTGAGAAAGAAGAAAAAAAATCTCCAAATATTCACAATCAAATTCTATATTTACCAGCTTTTTAAATCACCCTTTATCATCAGGCTGTAGCGGTGCAGTGGTTAGTGAGGGCCTGAAGTTCATTCAAATGTCAAAACACTGCTGCAGGAAAACTAAAATTAACATGTGAACTGCTCACACACATTTAAAACAGTGCGGCTTATTGCTTCTCAGCTGCAGCACCTACAATCAATACAGTTCTTAACTTGAATGGACAGGGACATTTTACACATTTAAAAGCCAACAGCATGTTGTCACGGAAATAAAAGTGTGCAATTCTAGTCCTAATACAATTCCTAATACAGTATTAAAAATAGAGCTAAAATTCCCTAGAACAAGCCTAGTTTTGAAGAACAAGCCCTGACTCATATCAAACCTACAAGCAAAAGTCTATTTTTCAATGTTTTGCACAGTTATCTCAATGCGGTGCTTGTGTTTTCCCTGCTTTTCTCAACTGTCACTGCATTTAGCATGTACATGATGATTTTTCTCACCTGCCCCACCTCTTTTAAATTCCACTGGAACAAGGATCAACGTGAAGCAACCTCCAGTGTGTTCCGAATTATACGCAATCTGAACTGGCTGTATTAACATCATTCATGTGATTTATCTAGTACACTGAATATGCTGATAGAGCATTTGTCCAACTCCAGTTGAGGATTTGTGATAGGTCACATCTGCCTGGATGTGACAGGCTCTGAAGAGTCAAAAGGAAAATCAAATTGTTTATGAATTCAGTAACCCACAAATCACATTCAAGAAGAAATTACTTTGGAGGATTGATCCAAACCCCAAGGAATGTGTTCCGCTAGTGCCAAACCTTGAAGATTTGCTGCCATTTCATATTGGTTTACAGTGACTGCTGCTTGAGGACCACATTTAGAAATTGCAAGGAGCAGAATATCTGTTACAACCACTGCCCACAGCTAATATAAATTTCCAGCTCCTCATGGATATAACATCTACTAACTCCAATAAAAATCCCAGAACAGTGCTCTCCTAATACCATTTGCTCAAAAACTGTTTATGAAAAGGTTTCATAACAGTCTTTTACATGGAACACTTCTCTTAAAAGGCTGTGGCTGCTTCCAACAGTTCATCTGTCTCAACAAGTGTCATTCCATATACTGCTAATGTTCAGATTTATCAATTCCTATGATTATTTCCTAAGTCTCTTAACTCAGTTTGCATGGATGGACTGGGTAGCCCATAACACTCCTCAAGAAAATTAACAGGACCTTTCCTGGAACAAATTGCTTAGCTGCACATTTAGCTGCCAGGCCTCCTACAGCTTTTTCTTTTTGCAGTCTTCTGAATGACAAACTTTCCCTCCAACATAAAGGTCCAGCATCCTACATCTATTATTTAGGATCTTTCCATTTTCTATATGAACCATGTATCTTTAGGGAAATGCTGTAAACTTGCACATATTTGGTTAGTATCATAGAATGAAATCAAGAAATTCTGATTTAGGTACATTTCACCTACCTATTTCACATTCCTATTTCACAGAAAAACTGCCACCTTTAACACATACTTATAACTAAGGAATTCACTTTCCTAAATGAGCTTGGGCACAAATTGCCCTGCTATTACCAGATCTTTTCTTATCATGGATTTCATGTCCACTCTATGGTATAGACTACACAGCAGAAGAGGGACACAAAGTGCAGGAGCAAATGAGAACAGAGCTAGGATACCTAAGCTTAATTTTACAACCTTGTAACATCTTCAAACCAATCTTCTGCATTACTGTTAACTTTTATTATACCTGTGATAAGGCTCAATTTCCCACAAAAAGCTCTTATGCTAAGCATTCTTTAAACACTTCATATTTCAAGATACTGCCACTTTTTGCTTGAAAATCCTTCAAACAGCAGCTTCCAGCTGAGTGCTTTCAGACAGACGTTCAGGACTCCCTATAGCATGATGGGAAGAGTGGGGCTCATGGAGAAGAACGTGGGGGTGCTGACTGACGGAGCTGAACATGAGCAGCTTGTGCCCAGGCAGCCAGGAAGCCACCAGCATGCTGGCCTGTACCAGCACCAGTGTGGCAGCAGGGCCAGGGCAGGGACTGTGCCCCTGCACTGGGCACTGGTGAGGCCGCACCTCAAATCCTGTGCTCAGCTCTGGGCCCTCACTACAAGAGAGACATTGAGGTGCTGGAGCAGGGCCAGAGAAGGGCGGTGGAGCTGGTGCAGGGCCTGGAGCACAAGTGTGATGGGGAACGGCTGAGGGACCTGGGGGGGTCACTCTGGAGAAGAGAAGGCTCAGGGGGGACCTTATCGCTCCCTACAACTGCCTGACAGGAGGATGGAGCCAGGAGGGGCTGGGCTCTGCTCCCAAGGAACAAGGGATGGAACAAAAGGGAATGGCCTCAAGCTGCACCAGGGCAGGTTTAGATGGAGCTGAGGAACAATTCCTTCCCCAGAGGGTGCTCAGGCATTGGAACAGGCTGCCCAGGGCAGGGCTGGAGTCACCGTCCCTGCAAGTGTTCACACACCGTGGAGACGAGGCCTCAGTGCCATGGGTTAGTGGTGGCCTTGGCAGTGCTGGGGAGCAGTTGGACTGGGTGAGCTTAAAGGGCTTTTCCAACCTAGTGGATCCTTTGATTCTGTGACTCTGGGGTTTCTGTGAACCCCACCCCCACGAAACACACCACGTATTGCACCTCCTGTGAAGGTCTTTTCCACCAGCATATATAAACAGAGAACTCTTTCACACAAGTGCTATCATACTATGTTTAACAAAAACAGTCAGTGGAATTGATCCAACAGAGATTAAACTCAAGCAGACAAAACCGTTACTCCACTTGCCATCTCATCCTTCTTGTGGAGGTCACCATCCTCATTGACAGAGCAGTGAAATGCACATGAAGTACTTCCTAAGCCATCACAGATCACAAATCGTCAAGTTAAAGGACTTGACAAGTTAAAGCTGAAGCCACCATTGATTTAGGTCTCCATGTCAGACTAGGTGGTGGCTCAGGAAGAGCTTTATAAATTTTTCAGACATCTCCACATCAGTGGGAGGAAGGTAAGGAAGAAGGGAAGACAGGTGAGGCTATAAAGAAGGAAAGGAAAAAAAACTATGTATGTTGCAAATTGCATGGGCAGTTGTAATACTTAATTTGTCTTAGTAGTGTGAGGAAAAAAAGTCTCATAGCTGAACATATATGACAAACTGAAGTTCTGTTTATGTCAGTCCCAGGATCCATTCAAATGGTGACAGTATTTCCGCATTTCTTGCTCTCAGGTATTTTTTCTGTGTTTCACATATTTCTGCTGAACAGCAATATGTAAACTGAGTATTTGTGTGAGCACCTACTTTAATCAGCCTACTACCTGAGAAAATAAAAGGAAATCACTGAAAATTAATTCCTGGAAGGGAGTCAAGCTTTCCTCTCATCAACATTCAGCACCAGTGCCATAGCAAGCAGAAAAAAGCAAGCAAACACAAAACATAAGCAGCAGAAAGCAGGGAGGAGGAAACATGTTATTTCTTAAATTAGAGGAGAAAGTCAGCACTTGAAACTTTGCCTATGAACTTCTCCTTGTAGTGATCTGTATTTGCTCAAGACAGACAAAAAGAGATTTCATTTCATTTTGCATTATTCTGAACCTGGGCAGGAAGTTAAAGGATACAATTCCAGAAAGAATTAAACCAAAAATGTGCATATAAATGTCTCAGTCTAACAGATACAGGGTTGTTTTCCCCTTCATCTTACAAAGCACCCAAGCAAAAAAGCCAGTGAATACAGCATATGACTGCCATTAATATTACATACCATTAATCCTGCAAGATACGTATGTCACAAAAGCTGTTCACTTCTTCTTTAAAGTGTATTTGTGTATGGTAACAGGGGGACAGGGTGAAGAAAGAAGCAAAATGAGGGTTTTCAGGACACTGACAGATAATGTCTGGCTGTTAGGTCAATTATTTCTGAATTATCAGCATAAACACTATCTTCACCAACATCACTGTTTTAGATTATTACTTTAAGTTTATATTCTTCTCCCTCAACTTTCTTTTTATTGCTCCAGCTGGGGAAGAAGCAGCAAAAGCTTTTAAGAAACACCATGTTTATTTTGATCAGGTACCTCCTCTCCCATGAGCTACTGCAAAGAATTAATCAGTGTCATTATTGCAACTCTTTGCCTGTCTAATAAGGGAGTTCCAACATCACATCTTGGACTATGAGAAGTTTATAATCAGCGTAAGTTTCAAAGTGTGTAAGTCTAATCCAGTGCTACTTAGATTTAGTCTTCTAAAGGCTTGTAGATACTGCTAACATTTTCCCTGCAGTATATTGCAGCAAACCAAGACAAAGGCAGTTACTGAGACTTTTTAAAAGTTAAGAAACCTACAAAACAAGTTTTAGAAAGGAATCCCATTCCTTGAGATCTAACAGACCACAGAAGAATTTAGGTATTTTTGTCTCTCTGTTACTAATAAATTATCAGAAAGTTTATGAATCCTTTCAGGCGTTTTTAGCAAAATAGATAAAAGTCATGTAGTGGTTCCTCACACAATCCCAGAGTGGTTTGTGTTACAAGGGACCTTAAAGCTTATCCAGCTCCAACCCCTGCCCCAGGCAGGGACGCCTTCCACTAGAGCAGCTTGCTCCAAGCCCTGTTCAACCTGGCTTTACAAAAATACCTTGATCTGTTGTAAAATATTTGCAGTAAGGAAAAATTCTGTGCCTTCTACTGTATGCATGTGAACTTCCTAGAGAACAAACAGAACAAGGTATCTGCGAATGTGTAAATAAAGGCAGGGTTTGGTTTTTGTGATCTATCTGTTCTACACTGTTTTTCAGGAATTCATTCATCTTTGCAAATATTCACATAGAAGGTGCAATAAATGAGCATATGCAAAGATTCATACCAAGGTATTCGACACCAAGCCTTTCACATGACTCCAAGCATGCTTTTTTTGTGTTTTCATAGCCATAATCACTAGGCCACAGTTTGGTAGTTAGCCAGATGTCCTCTCGTTTCACACCACTCTCTTTGATGGCCTTTTGGAGCAGAGATTCACAGCCGTATCGTCTTGCTGTGTCAATATGACGAATGCCACAGCTTTGTATTGCATGGACCACAGCATCATGGGAATAGCCACCTTGATGGGAAGTACCTAAACGAACAAAAGCAGAAGTGAATTGTCAGCAATAAGTTATGAGGGACATATTTTATCATTCTTTTTAATTGTTGTTTTCCTTTTTTGTCTATTGTCACAGAATCACCTTATTCAATTTTCATTTCCTAATAATAAGGAAATGGGGACTGACAGATCTCTAGGCTGGGAAAATACTTCAAGCGCTGGAATGCTGATGCTGGATCAGAAATGACTCCACCAAAATCAAATATCAACAACATTTAAGTGTAAAGAACTGATTTCAGAAGTCAGGCTGAAGATCATAGAAGAGAAAACACATACTTTATGGAAAATAAGTATATGGCCCTTAATTTTCATATAGAAGCACAACATTTACAGATGAAAATATTAACAATAAGAAATAAAATGTAACCCGAAAAGCAATTTACTTTGCAGAAAGCATATCCTGAAACCTTCACTCTGTTGAACTCCTGTTAGCTTCAAGTTATTATTGCATTGTACAACCCTAGACCAGGCCATATCACAGGTGCAATTCACATCACATCAAGTTCAGCAGCAACCAAAACAATGGAATCCTACCCAAGAATTCCAGAATGGGCATACAGGGGATTTCAGTAACAAAGTACTGTAACTCTCATTGTGTAGGTATTCACTGGATGTGTATTTTGCATGTCAAGGGGACGGAAGGAGGAGGGGACTCAGCAGGAAAAGCAACCAGCAGGAGGACTGTCAGATAAAGAACTGGTTGAGAGCAAGGATGATGTTTCTACTTACCCTTTCCTGTTAGTTGTTTTTCCTGCAATGAGCCCCTCACCCATTCCTCATCACTCACACACTTCCCATAAACAGTATTTTCTACAGTTTGTTGGAGGAAATGCTCAGTCAGCTCCAGTCAGCTACCAAAGCCACCTTCTGAGATGATGGTTAGTACTTAAAGGCCCTGGTGCTACCAGCAAGAGTTGGCATGAAAACAGCCACGTCACTAACTTCCCAGTTAAAGGCCCAGAGCAGTCATGACAGTCAACAGCAACAGGGTGTTCAGCCTCTGATGAATCTAAATTAAGGACTCTAGGTCAAAGAAGAAGAACTGAATTTTCTATCTGCTGTCAACTTTCTCTTTCCCTCCAGAAAGAATGTTTATGCCTACATCAAACACTATCTGCATGTTATACATTAACAAATGTATATGCCCCCCACAGACTGTCAGCAAAGGGGAACAAATGAAAACACATACACAGTTACTTATGACTCATCCTTAAAACTCCCACACCTGAACTGGAGAGGGAACGCCCATGGGAATCTGCAGCACTTTCTCATACACATCTTAACAATGCCAGCAAGAATGAGAAGGGCTTCCAAAAGCCCTACTTACATGAAGGCAAGCCAGGTTCTCCTACATGCTCACGATTTTTGTTCATTCCTAAGCTTAGAAGGAAAGCAAATGATACCTCTGTAACCTTGCTCAACACTCCAAGTCATTTAAAATAAGATGTAATAGGTCCGACATAAAGATCATGACCCAAAGATCATGACACTCTGCTCTGATCACAATGGGTCAATCCCCACTTTGTGTTTATGTCCTACAAAATGTGGAGTATGGAATTCTTCATTTATCTTCATGGATTTGAAAGTGATGAAATTATACTACTATATTCCTACAATGTTGACATGTGTATCAGATGTGTTTTACCTTCCACATGTAAACAAAGTTTTAATGTTTTAAAAGTCAAAAATTCAAAATTCCACTTTTCTTTATAGCCACTATTTATAATTAATAACTGGCTTAATTTAGGATTCATCTAGAAACAGATGTCCCTGTAACCTTGTTTTACATCAAGATAAGTCAAGCTGGGTTAACTTACATTCTCACAGTATCAATGTTGACAAATTTTAGATGAAAGCAATGCTACTACATTGCAACTCTGGGCAAAGAATATATATGCAAGTATTACATTATTCAGATCCTAAAGAGATTTTATTTAAGCATTATGTAACTAGCACAGAAAAATTACTATACTTTTTCATAACAGGCCCTTCACTTTTCATAAGCTGGTACTGGTGCCAAAGAAATAAGGTTGTAACTATTGTGTCTGTTTCTGGCTGAATGGACATTTCTAGGCACAGAATGAATGGAGTTCATTTAGAGGTCTCGCAAATGGACTCAGACTCTTTTCATGCATAATGGATTTCAGCAAGAACATTTAGGACAAACGACTTTTTTTTTTCCTTTTCCTTTTAAATTTAACCCTTTGAGTTCAAGGGAGAGAGTGAGAAAGAAGGAAAATTCAGAACCATTTTCTTCCTGCACTCCCTTCCTCGACGGCATGCACACTTGTTTCACAAGGAAATAAAGAAATCAAGATCAGCCTGGAGGGAATTATCTCAGTTTCTATGCCTAAAAATGAACCACAACAGTCCTGATGCACTACATAGTAATTAAAAAGAGAGCTTAACACTTATTTAATATTACCACTTTGCAAGCCTTAACTTACTCATGAACAACAGGTTTCTAAGTTAATTATGCCACTGACATAACAGCTTCTGCACTTTAGAAATGAGAGTTTTCTTGGGTTTACTCATGTGATTAAATATGCTACAATTCACAGCTGCAGAAGGGTGACAAAAGAAAGTGGAGTGACTTAAATTGGTATTTTTTTTATATCTTAAATGCACTGTGTGAATACATTAACATTCTTACATGTTTGGGACTCCCCTTTTTTCAGAGATGTCATTCACACTGTACATGGATATTTAAAGACAAAATCCAATCTTTTATTTGAAATTAATGAACTAGCAACCATTGTATCCCATTACTGTTTCTAAATAAAAATAGTAGCAGCTTTTAATAAAGGAAGTCAAATACAAGTAAGTCTGCAAAAGTTGCCTATTTTCTAGCTAGCATTTAACTTGTTTTCCTAGGGGAACAGCACTAGTCTCTCAATGACTGAACTATCTCGATCTGAACGTTTCTGAGACGATTAAAATCCTCTGGACTTTGTGAAAATTGGTGGCTGGGAGATACAAGGATACTGCAATGGAAAGATAGATCAGAGAATCATAGCACAGTTTGGGTCGGAAAGGACCTTCAAAGGTCATCTAGACCAACACCCTGCAATGCGCAGGGACTTCGAAAGCCTTTTGTTGTCTTTAATTTCAAACTTCAATGTCCTTTTAATATATGAGCACTTACACCCACACAAAGAAGAAAGTAATGTTCTTGTGAAGAAGAAGTTTTCTTATTTTCTCATTTTCTCTTTTACATGAGACACCTTCCTCCCTCCCATGTTACTGCACTCACTTATATACTTGGTGGATTAAGTGACAATAGGAAGTTACATACTAGGCCAGATGGCCACACGAGCCGTGACTGCTACAGAGATATTAGCCTGAATGGTGTTTGACAGTTAGTTATGTTGAAAGAAAGCTCTATAAATTTCCATTTCTGTTTAATTTTGCAGTAAAACCTGGTGTTTGGTACAGAGAACTAGGAAACATTATTCAGAAACATGCTCAAGCAAGTGGATTTTCAGTGGTAGGTCAAAGGGACACAAATCCACTTAAAACTAGGCTTAGTTACTTACATGGTTATTTTGTCATGATTACTCATACACCCTGAAAAAGACTGCCACCAGAACTGGGATGAGAAACGTGCTCTGGCAACCCTTACAAACCTCCAAATATTATTAGGAAGGCAGAATCCTGTTCATAACGCAGTTACTACACAGAAAGATACAACCAACCACTCAGCACCCTTTCCCAAGACAAAATCAACAACATATCTCCTCCCCACCTCACTTCCCAGTTTTAGGCATCATCTCAGCTGACTCTCAGCCTCATTAAACATTTTGTCCTCCTTCACAGAAGCTGTAGAACTACAGAGCCAGATCCAAAGCATCTGCATTTTCCAAAGAGAATCAGGGCCTATCTTCTCCCTGCCTTTGTGGAGGAGCATGCCTTCATGTTCTTTGTGAAATGTGAAAGGATTATTTATCTGAATATATGAAAAAGTTGATGAATAACTTCATCATGAAATTCATTAACAACTTTGGCTACTGGAAATCAATGGAATCACTTACATGAGAAGAGTTCCTGTTAGTGACCGTGTCAGAGATGAAGATTTTCTGACATCAGTACTAAATTACAACAGTTGACAAACAAAACACCTACAAAAATGCCCATTCCTTTGCAGGCTTTTCTACAAGTAACCACTTGAGAAAAGAACTCGCAAAAGCTCAAACATCCTTTTATCAATGTTTACACACTCATTGAGTATATGTGGCATTTAATACCTTGAAATACCTTGTCCTATTGGTTTGATTTCCATTATTTCAACATAATGCTTCATATAATATGCATCATATAATGCATCATATAACATGCATCATATAATGCATGACTGCAGAATGCATCTTATAAATATATTACAGTATTTGGTGTCAATACAGTTTGATTTCACTGTAACTTTATGAGCAAATTTGATGATAAAACATAAAATTATGCCTATACATAGAGCAAATGAACATATAACATATTCAAAGGTTCGCTGCTTAAGTGAGTCTAGAGAGTATACCATGAAGTTTCTCTTGCCTCTGTAAAAGCCATCTGGATTATGAATATTATATATATATATATAAAAGATATACTTTGGTAATGTTTCTCTTTTTTGCTAAGTATGACCCATTGCTTAGTGAAAAGAGGTCTCTCTGGGACTGTTTTCCTCCTGTGCAACTCAGTCAGAATAAGCTCACAGAATTCAGTAAGGTGAGGAAGAAAAGTAGGCAGGAATGATTTTAAGCAATTCTACTCAGACAACTCAACACAGGCACCAAAGGGTAGGAGAGAGCCATGACATGTTTATTATGTATCCAGGGAAAGGGAAGCCAGAATTGCTAGTTTTCTCTCTTCCTGAGAGGAAGGAAGAAATGGCAATGAGCCACTGTTGACAGAAGCACTCTATTCCCTCCATCCCAAAGAGGCTTTGACTGTAAAGGATATTCAGATCATCTACTGTAAAATGA